AAATCATTTTCCGGGCGCTTCTAAGTTCACTTGCTGGTGAACCTCGGGGGACGAGGAGTCGAAGGGAACTCTTCAAAGTCATAGAGGGAACTCTTAATAAGAACTATAATTTGAAAACGATATATAAAAATTGGAGTAATTAATAATACTGCCACCATTACATATATACGAAGAGTCAATAAGTGAGGTACACACAGAATACATCTTATTAAAATCTATACCAAGTAATACCTCTTCCGAAAGAGAGAATCTTGTTTCACTATCCTCGCGGTTTAATTAATCTCACCCCTCGAAGTCATCTAAAAAATCACCGAGTACACGATACAAGACTAACTTACCAACATCACTATGTCTAAAATTACTTCCATAATCCTTCAGACGATAATTACACAGAAATCACCACCCAGACCCAGTATTACTATACCTACACTCCGTTTTTCTATCCAACGTTTCATTATCCTTCAGACGAACTCAATCACTCACCTCCAGAATGTCTTAAAAAAAAAACAAGATCAGCGACGCAAAAGGTCGCAGCGCCATTCTTTACAATCTGTAAACAAGCTCGAAGATCAAGGGATCGAGGAAGCAACGACGGGAGAAAATCGCGTGAATCACGATCTGAAACCAACTCCCAATTGCGCGAGGACATCGGTCAGGATCTGGCTGTCGATAGCTCGAGCTTTGCCTCGGATTCTCGCGCTCTCCTGCCGGCCTATACCTCCGTCCTGGGGGCACGTCATAAAACACAGGTAACTCCGGTATTTATGCCCGTCGTTTTTACGCCCGTCGCTGGCCGGCCACCGGCTCCTCTATACCAGTCGCAGCCCTGAACCTACATAACGGGGGCGCACAAGTCTCGCCGCTCGCGCCTGGTGACTCCTAGCAGTCGGAGCTTGACGCTAATCCCTGTCGGGAAACGGAAGGGGTGGCCGAGTGATATACGCCTCTGCGCCGCTATGATAATATCCTCCACCCCCGTTGCACCCCCATTCCGCGCTCACTACCGCCCTTTCCACCCCTCTCGCAAGACCGCCCTTTTGTTTCGCGACTTTTACGCGCTGGATGTGGATATGGGAAGCCACCTCTGGGTCTAGAGATAGGGATTCTGGGACTTCTTGGACACCTCGCGTGTGGTAGAGGTAGGGCTGAGAATTTGGGTTTACTGGGGAGAAATTGGAAAATGGTTTTGTGAAAAGTCTTTTGAATCGAGTGTACATACTACTGAAAAAGTAGTTTTTATTCGTTTGAGAATCATTTAGAGTGGTCTAGAAATGATGTGGAAATATCTTGGTGGGTAGTTCTTTGGTGATTATCGCGTGATTGTTGAGGAAAAGAGATTGTTGAGAAAAGGAGCTGGAGATTGGAATGTTTCCTTTACGAGAAGTCCTGTGAAAGTATTATAAATAGTACTAAAAGAAACATTGGGAAACACGTACAATACTTCATAATTCTGAATGGAATCTGTCATTTAGAACGTTAGTAAAACACTAAACCCTTGATAAGCTCCCATAGATTCTTGATGTACAATAAAATCTCTACTATATGAACCAAGTGTGCTGGATCTGTAAAATTTCTCATAATCCAAACACAATATGAGATTCAAGACAGAACTATCATCACACAGTACATTCATAAATACCACGAATAAATTTCTCCACCCTCAAAAGTATTTCGATACACCCACCGTCAACGATCCACAAAATCCGAAGGGTAATTCAGGTTCATCAGAAGCAAACTGTACGCCAGAAAATGGTGATGCATCGGGTGTCCAGAGGGGGAGGAACAGTGTTCGATTACCGCCGATTGTTCGTTCTCTTTTTTCTTTTTTTTTTGTTCCAGGCATCGCGCGATTAAAAGGTGTTGGGAATGAACGATGGGGACACAGGAAACCGTGGTTCGAGGCGCGCGCGGCTCATTTCAATTTTTCCGAGCAACGTTTACCGCTCATCTCGACTAAAATCATTCCTCATCCGCATTCGCAATATTAAATTGGCATGGCGAAGCCCGCGAGCGAGCATGGAACAAATATTTGCCCCAAAATGGTCAGTGCGCGCGGGCCGCGTGCAAAATAACGGAGGCGAAAAAAAAAAAAAGAGAAACCGAGGGGAAAAATGTACACGGAATCCGTATATGAAGCGGTCGCTCGGCTCGCTCGCGCGTTGCCACTCGTCTCCGTGGTATTATGCGCGCGATACGCGACCGTGACTCGCCGGTAAACATCATAAATTTTCGACTTATTTAGAAAATCTGTTTACCCGTCTCCGTAGATGATAACGATTGCGCTGCGGGGTCTGTGTTATCGGTGATCGCTGGATCGCGTGAGCCGAACGTTTCCCGCCGGACAGCTCCGAATACTTCCACGAGACGTAGAAAAATTACACAGAAACACCTTGAACAGGCTTCACAGTTCTCGTTGGAGGTGAGGAATCGGTAAACTTGTTCGACTGCCTTGACTTAATTTGAATTATTGATATATTGGACCGTTGGTGATTAATCGAGGATTTATTTGACTCTAGATTTATAGAGTAGAGAAATAATTTATTTCGTCGGTTCTTGAATTATGTTAATAATAATGGGATTTCCAAAATTATTAGGTAGTGGTGGATGTTGGTGGATAGTGTGGTAATTAATCAAAGATTTCTTAGGCCCTGGATATATAGAATAGAGAATTTATTTTATTTATAGTCCAACACTAGTGTAAATCTAATACAAGTGATAGAATGTACCACAAATTCCTTGGTTCTGTGATTCCACTAAATCGAGCCTAATTGTCGAATTGAATAATATCGAGGGTATCAACTTAAACAATACAAACATATCCTAACCCCAAACGTTCGATCTTTGCCCTTGAAACAGGCGAGCCATCGTCGTCCGTGGAACAATGAGTAATCGTGAAACGGTTTTCACAACTTTTTCGCGAAATTCGTCGACTGAGGAGGATATCGCGGATATATAGGGAATCACAGAATAGAACGGTTGAGCGGTGGGGTGGTCAGGGGGGGGTGGGTAGGTGGATGGTAGTAGAGTGGTTGGCTGTAAGCGGCTTTGGTTTCCATGGCAGTAAGCCCTCATTACTGTATTACGGGCAGCCCCTAACTACCAGCCGTACGCAACGATTTGCCTCTAGAACCTCTATGAGGGTGACGGATCATGCAAGATTGTTTTCCGCGTGTCCGGGCAACGCCGATATTCCAATCCAGCCGGAAATATTTCGCCCCCCAGCCTGTCCAAACATCGAAATTCTACCATTGTGTTCGACCCCCAATCAACAAGGAAAAACATTCATCGACAGTGTATATTTTTCCCACAATGGTTCCACATCGTGGGAAACAATCGACCGAAGTAGTTACGTACGATTGGACGTATGGGAAAACATGTTTGCAAATTCCTGTGCTTCGTCGACGAACGACGTTTAAAGGGGGTTGCAAGGAAAAAGAAAGCTGGCATTTAAACCACCACCGTTTAAGGCTCTCCCCATCGAATGTTAGAGTGACGGGAGGGGGTGGCGCTGTCGAAGTAGAAGATCGTCGATATCGCGGACCCCGCAATTTCCTTTTCCAATTTGCCATAAACAAGTCGAACCCTGTGCCGCCGCCCCTCGTTAACCGGCTACGCTCGTGACTGCTCTCTTGAAAGACTCGCGAGAGCAACGACGACACGGAAGACGGAGGAGGGAGGGGTACGACTCGGTCGAATTAAAGGAATTAAAGGACGCCTCGTTACTCGTATCTCTCGATCCACCCCCTCGCCGCCCTCTTTGGTGTGTCTAAAGGAAGAAAGAAAAAGAACCGCGACGATCTGGAGGGTAGCCTAGGAGAGTCAGAGGACGACTTTGTTCGTCTTTCGTATGGGTGAAAGGTTCTACGATCGACCGTTTGCATTAAGCGCCCTTAATGGCGGCGATTATTGGGTCGCATTATTCAGGGGGACCACCCCACGGATTTTTCACGACCGTCTTCTTTCGCTCCTTCTAGGGCGAAGGAACGCTGAATTATTGAAACGTGGAGTCGGGAATTAAAAAAAAATCTCCGCGACGGCCGGCCGAGATATCGAGTCACGGTGTTTGCCGGGTGAATTAAAAATGAGGACGAAGCGTCGAGGGGCAGGGGGGCAGGTTGGGCGGGCCACGCTTCACCGTCCCAAGGAAAAACGAGGCCATCAGTCGGCCCACCGACTTAATGCACCGACGCCTGAATGATTTAGAACCCGTCTTCTGAAAACGCTTTCCTTGGATCGGCCTCGCAGGTTAGGCGAATTTTTTACGTTCGATTTTCCTGGAGAACCCTACTGGTCTTGGTAATTGGTCGGAGGACTGATAATAGAAAAGTGGAGGCGAAGTTAGGATGTTATAAATAGAAAATAAGGTATGATACAAATATGATGGAACCAAAGAGAAAATTAGTATGAGAGTACTATTGGTAGGTTGTATAATTTAAGTTGGTTACACTGGGTGAAACAGAAAAGAGTCGAAACAATTGATTGCCTTATCGATGATTCTTTTCCTGCTTACAGAAGGTTTTCTACAATTTTTGTTAGTTTTTTATACGCTGGATCTTATGATCGAAGAACTTTCCCACCCCTGATAGAGTATGCCAAGTACACTTCTTCCTAGGTTTCACCCCTTTTGGGCTATTTAATTTCGTTCTGTATCACTTTTTTAAGTTTTTAATATTGTCAGGTACAGAAATTTATTGAGATTGAGACTGGGAACTAGTGAGGGTTGAACATTCGGCGGTTATTGGTCTCTGAAGATTTCTTTTACCCCTACGGAACCCACCCCTAAGCGAGCAAGAGATTTATTATCTGTTCTAGACGTAACCCATAATCTGTTTTCCATCCAATGTGTCAGACTTGGAACACCATAAAAATAATCCCCCTGACAGATAGTAAATATTGTGTCTATCTAAAAAATTGTCCACATCGAAGCATCGTTGTGAGACGAAGTTGCTTCGAAGATCATGCTTTTTAACCTATCGACGGAAGGATAGAAATGTCCTCACCTCGACCGCTTCTGCCGACGAACCTGAGGTCGTTGAATTTCGCGACTTGGTTCTTCATCACCGCCGTGGAATTCCGCAATTCCGCGCAGCAATTCTCGTCGTTCCCGGCACGCACCGTCACCAGGGTCCCGTCACCGACGTCGCCCAGGGCCACCACTTTGAACGCAACCGGAAGCGTCTTGTTCGACCTCCAGTGTGCTGGTAGCACAGTGCAGACCACGTGGGGGGAACCTGTCGACAATGATCCGTCAGATCACCAATTAATATCTACCTATCGGGCAACAACTTTAATGCTAACTAAAGCATAACAGACCTACTCTAAATGACAACACTTAAGCAACATCGATATGCTTTCCCCATACAGTAAATCCTTGATAAGTAAGACAAGATAAGAAGAGATCTCCAGGTATAACGCTGACTTTTTTACTGAGATTTAGCACAATGAGCTTACGATTCTCAAGCCAATTATATTTGTTTCAGTCCCATGTGGCCATTAATTTATGAAATATTTAATGTTCACTGTCTAAGAGCCTTCGACCACTCATCGAGGATTTACTGTATACTTTTCCACAATTTTGTCCTTCATCGGGATAGAATTGAGAAGAGCCTCAGAGGCTCTCAGTACATAATAGCTGAAATTAATAATTCTAACATATTTCACTTCTTTTAATTCAGTTTATTTATTTAGTATATTGTTATTTGTATGTATCCACATGTGGTTCTCGAGTATTTCTGATAGATGATATATGACTTCCATCCTAATAAGGTCTGACCACCACTATATATATTACGATATTGTTTGTAATATATAATATTATTATATTCTTCATTATGATATAATAAAAGAGCCTCAAAGGTTCTTCTATTCGGATGAAGGTCAATAATTAACAGTACTTCGACATCAAAGAGCTCGAAATCTTCGGAATGGAGGGATAAAATAAATTTTCTTGAACAAGGTGTTTCTTCTTACCTGTTCGCACCAGTTCGCCAGGATGCTCAGCGAACAGTCCGTCCAAGGTTCTTTCAGCGAGCAGATCCGCGGTGATCGCATAGTCCGACAAATTGTTCCCACCAGCGGATCCTTGCTGTGGGACTTCATTAGCCAGGTGCATTCTTCTTCTCAAGGAAGAGTTCCTTGTCCTCCTGATCCTCGTGGCACCGATCTGATGCACCGTGTTCCCTTGGTGAGCCGGATGCCCGTTCCGTATCAGTCTCGGGTCCGGGTAGTCTAAGCCTGGAGGCCGATCCTCGGGGCGTGCATCACGTAGAGGATTCGTCATGAGAACAGGATCATCTGACCGTTTCTCTGAAATATCCTCCTTGCGTACCAACACCTGACTATTCGACTCAATTGTTTTTACCGAACAGTTCACACTAAATCGGATGAAAAAGACTCTGGTTCCATATAGACACTGGACGTTCAGCCACTTTGTTAGGATTTTAATCTTATCTTCTGAATCGTAGACTCGAAGATTTTCGAAAAGAGTTAATCAATCTCTGTTAGAGTATCACTTCGAGGGTTGTTTCTCTGGAAGATCACGTTGAACAGCACGCGCTAGTCCGCCCCGCGTGGCCCAGGAACCTTTGATCCTTATTTCATTACCCCGCGACAGTGGGACGTAAGAGCCGATCCGTTTGCAAATTCTTCCTCGTCTCGATTGCCAAGTCGCGGGGAAAATTCGTTTTATTGGAATCGACGACCGCCCCTCGTCTTCGTCGTTTCTTTGATCGCCTGTGTTTGCCCCACTCCGGGCAGTACAAGTCGACGGAAATCGGTGGCCACTCGTCGCAGACTATCCCGCGAAACGATATAAAACACGCGGGCACTCTCTAAAATCCTCGACGATCGCGACCAATTAATACATCACATCGGCGCACGTAACGCGAGAACCCTCTAACAGGTGTGTTAGCTCTCTGGTACCCCTCTAACGTGGCAACGCTTCTCAGGCACCACAAACTCCACATAGACACATTCCTGCCTCACCATCCCCCAATACACTGAATCATACCCCTAAAAACAAAAAAAAAAACGCTCGCTGGTATCTGACAAACTCAAGATCACTGACAGAGTTCACCACGCGGTCACGTTTCGTCGAACGAACCATCACACGCAGGACTTATCAACGATGTTCGAACACTTCCTAACAAGTGTTCGCAGCTGGTTATAAAAACTGTTCCCAATGTATCTTCACACTGATTATGATCAAACGATCTTCAGTGTCTCGAAGACAACTACCCCCCTTTAGGATAGTCGAATTTCCCAGAGACCAGGGGGTTACAATTCACTGACACTCGTGTCCAGAGCCTCGTGGCCCACGGGGTCCCGAACAGAAGGATCCTCTCTCGTCTCTTCGCGGTCGCTGGTTCGGCGGGTGGCAGCGGCAACTTCCACGGGTAAAGGTGGGTAGTAGATAGGGTGTTTAACTCGCGCGGTCTCGTTTCGGTTCGGCGGTGGAAGATGGCGGCTTCTGCGGTGGAGCCGCGCGCGGTGTGGTTGCGGTGTATTTTTGAGGCTGCCGCCCCCAGCCACCACCGAGACCACCCTGGGTAACCTACCCCTCCGTGCCTCGCTTCCACGCCGCCGCCACCACCGCCGCCGCCGCCGCCGCCGCCGCTGCCGCCTGGCCGCCGCGCTGCCCGTGGTAGTAGCTCCTGCGAAGTGGTGGGGGAATTGGTTTTTCCAAGCGGTGGGGAAAAAGTCTCTCTCTCCTGCCTCGGCTGGCCGACTGCCACCCTCTTCCACGATCCCGATGCTACTCCTGGTGATCGCGACCACCCGATGACAACATCCACCCCGCCTATCTTTTTCAATCCCCCCCCCCCCCCCCCCCCCTTAGGATAGAGGGAGAGGAAGAGATAGCGCCTCTGTAATTCGAGTGCCTTCGTGGAGAAGATAGCTGTACGCACCTTTTCAGAATCTATGCAGATTGGTTAAGGTGGATGAATGGGGATATGTCTAGTGGAATGTGGGAACAGTGCACTGTCAGGGGGAATGACTCAAGGTGACCTTCGTTTTGGGAATTCGATGGAGCGTCTTTGGTCTAGGTCTGATCACAGACTCCACTGGAAACGGACACTGATAAGGGATTGTGTAGTCTGTATTAGAACACTTCATGTTCACTTCGATCCAAACGGCTTTAGAACTGATGTGTAATTGTACCATAGAAGACGTTCAAGGGAGGAATCGATGACAGAAGGACACATCCTCCCACTGGAATCTTTCTTATGAACGATCGTCACGTCATTTCGTCCGTGAATCACCCGGACCGATTTCTAGGAATCGTCTACATCCTCGTGATAAGAATTTAAGGTCTCGTCCCCCAGTGGACACTCTGTTTACCACGGGAACGAAGCTGTAGAGAATCCTCAAGCGTTCCACCGCAATTCCCACGAAGGAAAAAGGAGTGATCCTCTTCTCTGGCCAGTAATTACTGGGCTCCCTCCGATCGTTTCCAGGTTGCGGTCGCTCGGTACACCGATAACGAGCTTGCCCTTTGCCTCCTACTTCCACCCTGTCGTCGTTCTTCCTCTTTCTTTTTCTCCTGCTCGGTACGTTCCCAGTCGACGTCGGTCTTCCGTCGTTCAACGACCTCCCCGCGCGAGACTGCAAAACGACACTGGGAAGAAAGGGAAAACAAAGACGGCAGAAAGGTCCCTCGTGTAGTTGCGTTTAGCGCCGAGGAATAACGGGGGGGGGCCTTCGCTGCGCGATGCTCGGGGGCTCCACGAGGGTCGCGCGCTAGCGTGCGAGCGAGCTAGAAGAACGAGCGGAACGGGGACGACAGGGGCGGCAGGGTTGAAACGGAGAGGAGATCGTGTCGGCGGCCCGTAGAAAGAGGGGAATACTTTGTCTTAATGTTCCCCGTCATACGTGTGGAGGCAGGGCCTTGCTGAACGCTCGGCCAGAAACGAGAATCTTTCCAGATTGCGAGGGTGGGATCCTCTCGACTTCAAGTGGTCACAATTATCGTTATTGCGACGCGTCGCGAGGATTAAACGCGTCCCTCCGGGGGATCCAGCGACGACGGCGAGATTTAGAAATTAATACGACTGAGAAGAAATTTTAAAAGGCGACCCCTCACCCCCTGGACGATCCATTGCTTGGGACTTTTGAACCAGTACTTTTGTAGGGTTGACGTTTTTTCGGGAGTTTGGAAAATTCTCTAGCTCTGGAAAGTGTTTTCGTTGTTAAGGAGGATGATATTCTATCGCATTTAAGTTTGTTTAGAATTATCGAAAACTTTGAATTTTGTGTTAGAACTCAACAGTCCTAATTGAAAGAAGCTAAGGAACTTGCTGTCCAAGAATAAGTGAGAAATACGACGGTTAAGAAGTTGACAAATGAAGTCAGTAGAAATATTAACCAACAAAAATGAAGGAATCAACTGAAGTGCAAAGGAATCAAGTAACTTCTGGTCCAAGAATAATTGTGAAATAGGAAAGTTGATGATCCGAGAAATCAAGTCACTGGAAACATTTGGAACCGAGGAACCTTTAACTAACAATCAACGTCGATCTTCGCTCTTCCACGAAGGACCTAGCAAGGCCAACACAAGGACAAAAAATGATTAAGAAATTTAACCGAATTTCACGACGAACAAGCGCGGATTCGTGCCAGAAGGCAATCACGACCGTCGAAATTAAGTTCGGTCCGCGGCATCGCGTTTCTCTTTCGACGAACAACGAAAGACTATCGATCATGGACGGATCTGTAGCAAGTCAGGATCCCTGGGCGACTGAGAGCCACCCCATATAATCCGTACACCCCTATGGGTAACAATGCAACGCCTCCACCGTTCCGTACCCTAAATGTCGAGTTCCCGAGATGCATTTCGTCATAGATCGGACCCTCGGGCGATACATCGCCGTTCTTTTTTTTCTTTCTTTCACCGTGCTCCTACACTTTTCCGTCCCCGTTTTCGACACACCGCGTCACGTCCACTGCTCCCCACACGACTCCCCTCTCCGTACTAAAAGGAACGCAATAATCTCGTGATCGTTATTTATTCGGCCTGATGAGGGTGTGAAATTATACGCTGGCGCGTTTTATTAGAATGCCCGCTGAGACTTGCGGAAAAAGAGCGAAAAATACGGATTGACTATAATTCAGGGAACTTCAAAATATCAACTGGCGGTCTAGATCGTTTTCGTTGTTCGATGTACAAGATGTTTCAGAAAAGTTGGACAAAATTTAGGAGCTTGTAGAAGTCGAAAGAAGGAAAAAAGGTCTTAACCCCAGAACTTATATAGGGGTAATTGAATAATACACTGAACTCTTAAAGTTGTAATTGCTGTAGTGTCTTTAGGTTGGTAGATACACGCGTTTTAATAATCAAAAAAAAAAACAAATAATGTTATGGTATATAATATATTAAATAATATTATAATGTACAATATATAAAATAATATTATAATACAACTATTATAATAAAGCAGCTGTTTTAGAAATAAATGTTCGCGTTGGAACTCTCGCGTTGGCGTTCTCCAAATTAGAAGACCTTTGAAACGCATAAACATCTACAGTCTGATCATTTATTTCAGAGTTATAGGAATAACTTTCAACTGGAACCTGTACCAGCATAAGAGACTTAATTTCGTGTCTATCAAGCAAAAGTACTGTAAACTAGTGTAGACAGAAGTGGATAATACTTTACTGATTAAAACGTCTTGTAACTCCGAAACCAATGATATTTGGCCCAACGTTCATTCAAACATTTTTGCTTCTTTCGACGAATACCACTTCCTACTGAAATTTACTGAAATTTACCATTTTGAAACACTCTGTGTACAGGATCGTACGCAACGAGAAGAAAGAGAATAAAATCTCAGACGAGTGTTAGGCAGAATTTGAATAATAGCGGAAAATAGAATGAAATTTTCAAGATAAAACGACGAGGTATCGAATATTTCGAATAAAAACCGAGCCCCGCTGTTTCGCGCTCGCGTGTCAGTTTTTCACGGGGAGAAACAGGTATTTAATTATACCGTCCGGTTCGACGTGATTTCGTGTAATTAAATCCTGTCGCCATAAAATTACCGGGCCGAAATGCTGGGCGACGATATTTTTCAATTAAAAGAAAAATATATTCGATCACGTCGGGTCCGGGTCGCGGGGTCGTGATCGACTCCCACCGCCCCGACAACTATCTCCCTCCCCTCTCTCTTCGCGCTCTTCTTTTTTTTATTTTTTATTTTTTTATTTTCTCTCCACCCTGCCGGCCCGGCGAACGCCCTTTCGACGGTAACGATATTCCATAACCCGCATCCGACACGGTCCACA